TTCTGTCTGTGACTGTTTGTCCCGACAGCTGTGAAACGGAGCCCAGCACAGTGCGCAGTAGGACGGGGAGCCCCTCGCTGCCGGGGGCTTTTAGAAAGTGACTCAAAGGCTAGTGGTGTTCTCTGTCGGAGCGGTAATCCACTTGTTAATTGGACAGAGTTGGTTCTGAGACCCTCAGTGCCATCCAAGTTGAATCCCTTCCTCCTGTGGTGGGTGTGTGCTCAGGGACAGGTGACTCCCTGGGATGGGGGGGAAGGTGACCCTGTGTCCCCTGAGAGATTAGGGAGGAGCAGGGGGAGAGGAAGAGAAAAAAACATGTCCTTTTAAAACTAAGTCCCGGTGGCAGAGCAGCCAGGGCCACCTCAGAGCACCACGCGGGCCCTGTCCACAGCTGCAAACCTCACACAGCAGGAGCAGGCCCTCCGTCCAGGGTCACCCTGGGAAGGCACTGAGCCTGCCATCGCCCAGGTGCCCGGCCTCCTCTGAAGGCCTGGTGGTGAAGCTTCCTTGTGGCAACTGCACTTGGTTTTCTTTAAAAATAACCAGAATTCGCCTAGGGTTGAGGCTCAGTGGTAGAGCACTTGCCTAGCATGTGTGAGGCACGGGGTTCAATTCTCCGCACCACATATGAATAAATAAATAAAAACAAAGGTCCTCCACCACTAAAAAGAATTAAAAAAAAAATTTAAATGACCAGAGCTCACTTGGCACTGAGTCTGATGGCAGAGTGCGGTTCTTAGGGTCAGGAAAGGATGGGACATCAGTGCACACTGATGAGATCAATGTAAAGCCCCAGGGCGAGGCAGGGTCCTGGGCATGTGGACAGGGATGGGTGGGAGGAGGGGCACCTGCCCACAGGACACCCCCGTGCTCACTGGGGGAGACAGAGGGCTGAAGAGCTTCCCTTTTAAAGAACTCTTACTACATCACCCTTACAGAGTCTGGGTGTATATCACTTCAGGGTTTTAAAATAGGTCTCATATTTCACCACCAAAAAACTCTCTAAAGTGCCACAGTTTACCTTTAACTTCACATGAATGAAGAAAGTGAGCAATGGAGTCCCCTGTGAAGTTAGCTGTAAAGCTTCCTCAGGCCTGGAGAGGAGCTACCCCACCCCAGACAGGAGGTCACCCCCCAGCCAGGAGGTCACCACACCAGAGAGGAGGACTCCACACCAACCAAGGTCACACCCCA